CTCACTCAGCTCTTTTCCATTCATGCCAAGGATAACAGGGAGCCCACGAGCATGTCGGACGACAAGCTTGACAATTTGGTCACTGCTCACCGACGTTTCATGAGCGAGCTTGGTGAGGTCAAGGTTCGAGACCTTATTGAGCCTCTTGTCCAGCTTCAACATGTCGACAACACCCTTGCTCATCAGCTTTGGATCGCCTTGTTCCCTATCTACTGGTCTGCGACGATGAAGGAAGAACGCACCGATCTCGAGCGTGGCATGGTTGCCCTCCTCACCAAGGACTACCACAGCCGCCAGATCGACAAGCGACCGAACGTGGTACAATCTCTCCTGGAAGGTGCGGCCAAGGCCTGGCCGGATTGCAAGATTCCGCCGCATGTTCTCAAGTACGAGGCCAAGACTTACGATGCGTGGTACACCGCGCTCGTCCAGCTTGAGAACGCCGCCATCAAGCCAGAGATCGAATCGGCAACTGTTCGTGAAAGCAATCTGGATGCACTTGTCGAGCTGTATGCTTCTCTACAAGAAGATGACCTGTTCTACGGCACTTGGCGTAGACGATGCCAATTTGTTGAGACGAATGCTGCACTGTCTTATGAGCAAAACGGAATGTGGGACAAAGCCCAAAAGATGTACGAGGCCGCTCAGATCAAAGCCCGGACGGGTGTCATCCCTTTCTCTCAAGGAGAATACGTCCTCTGGGAAGACCACTGGGTTTTGTGTGCACAGAAGCTACAGCAGTGGGAGATTCTCCAAGATTTCGCCAAGCACGAGAACTTCCAGGACCTGCTTCTAGAGTGCGCGTGGAGGAACAACACTGAGATGTGGCAGACACAGGAGCATCGTGAGGCGCTCGACAACCTTATCAAGGGCGTTATGGACGCTCCGACGCCTCGACGTGCATTCTTCCAGGCCTTCATGTCGCTTCTCAAGTTCTACAACAAGCAAGAGACGCCTCAGGACTTTGCGAAGTCGTGCGACGAGGCCATTCAACTTTCTATCCGGAAGTGGCATCAGTTGCCGAAGCAGCTCACCAAGGCACACATCCCTTTGCTTCAGAACTTTCAGCAGTTGGTCGAACTCCACGACGCCAGCGTGATCTGCAATAGCTTGGCTAGCACCAACCAGTCTAACTTGGACGTTAAGAGCGGAGAACTCAAGCTCCTGCTTGGTGCATGGCGCGATCGTCTGCCCAACGTCTGGGACGACATCACTGCCTGGCAAGACCTGGTAACCTGGCGCCAGCATATCTTTGGCCTCATCAACCAGACGTACCTCCAGCTACTTCCTCAAGGGGGTGGACAGAACGCCAGTGGTGCCTCGTTTGCCTACCGTGGATATCACGAGACTGCCTGGATCATCAACCGCTTCGCACACGTTGCCCGCAAACACAGCCTGCCGGAGGTCTGCATCACACAGCTTAGCAGAATCTATACGCTTCCCAACATCGAGATCCAAGAAGCTTTCCTTAAGCTGCGCGAGCAGGCCAAGTGCCATTACGAGAATCCTGAAGAGCTTACGAGCGGATTGGACGTGATCAACAACACCAATCTCAACTACTTCAACCCACCTCAGAAAGCCGAGTTCTACACTCTGAAGGGCATGTTCCTGGAGAAACTCAAGCAAAAGGAAGAGGCCGATTCTGCTTATGGCACAGCCCTGTACTTCGATATCACCGCTGCCAAGGCTTGGGCTGAATGGGGCTATTTCAACGAGCGCAAGTACAAGGAGGACCCGACTGATATCAACTCGGCCCGCCAGGCACTTACGTCGTATCTGCAAGCCGCCGGCAGCTACAAGAATGCGAAGTCACGCAAGCTCATTGCTCGCATCTTGTGGTTACTCAGCCTGGACGATGCCAACGGCTCCATTGCAGCTGGCTTCGACGACTTCAAGGGCGAGACTCCTGTCTGGTACTGGATCACATACATTCCTCAGCTCATCACTGGTCTTGGACATAAGGAAGCACCCAGGGTCCACCAGATCCTGAGCAAGATCGCCAGGTCCTATCCTCAAGCGTTGTACTTCCAGCTACGAACCAACAGGGAAGACATGCTTGTCATCAAGAAGAACCAAGAAGCCAAGGAGAAGGCCCGCCAGCGTGCCCAGTCGACGGTCTCCAACGGCAAGCCCAGCGCTTCGCCTCAACAGCCCAAGCAAGACGGCGTCCCGAAGCCGGATGCTTCTGGTTCAAGGCCCGGTACTGCAAGTGGCGGCGACGCGAATGCCTCTGTTAAAACCGAAGGCAACGACGCCAACGGCACTCCGGCTGCTCAAGCCAATGGTGCAGCTGCTGGCGGAGATCAAATTACCGCCGGTCAGAAGAAGCCGCCATGGGAACTTACCGAGGAAATTATGAGCGCTTTGAAGACCGCCTTCCCCCTCCTCGCGCTGTCGATGGAAACCATGGTGGACCAGATCCAGAAGCACTTCAAGTGCCCTCCCGATGAAGACGCGTACCGTCTTATCGTTGCTCTGCTTAATGACGCGCTAGCGTACGTCAGCCGCATGCCTTCATCGTTCGCCAAGGACGTCAAGCTTCCCTCCGCCACGGAGACCAACATTACGCGCTTCGCCGAGACGATCCTCCCAGCTCACATCAAGAAGTCATTCGAAGCCGATTTTGTTACTGTCAAACCGACCATGTACGAGTATATCCATAAACTCCGACGTTGGCGTAACAAGTTTGAGGAGAAGCTTGATCGTAGAACGACTCGCGTCTCGCTGGAAGCATTCTCGCCGCACCTCTCCGAATTCCGTTACCAGCGGTTCGATGATGTCGAGATTCCTGGCCAGTACCTGCATCACAAGGACAAGAACCAAGACTTCATTCGCATTGAGCACTTCTTGCCCAACGTTGATCTCGTCCGATCAATCAGCGCATCGTACCGCCGTCTCCAGATGCGCGGTCACGATGGAAGTATCCATTCGTGGGCTGTCCAGCACCCGGCGGCGAGACACTGCCGTCGCGAGGAGCGCATCCTGCAGCTCTTCCGACAACTCAACCAGACCTTGGGTAGGAGAAAGGAGAGTCGTCGCCGAGACCTTCAGTTCACTCTGCCTCTGATGGTTCCTCTGGCGCCTCACATTCGTATTGTGCAGGAGGACACATCATATATCACCCTCCAGAGTGTATACGAGGACCACTGCCGACGCCACGGCATGTCCAAGGACGATCCCGTGTTGTTCACCATGGAGAAGTTGCGCGGCGTTCTCGACACGAAGAACTCGGTAAGTGGTGCGATCAACGAGCGGATTACAAAGTCTAACGATTCGTCACAGAAGCATGCTGAGCAAAGCGCAACCGCCCGACTTGAGGTGTTCCACGCCATCCAGGAGAAGTGGGTGCCACAGAACTTGGCCCTGGACTATTTCCAGAAGGCCTTCCCCGACTTTACCGAGTTCTGGCTGTTCCGCAGACAGTTCTCGTACCAGCTTGCATCGCTCACTTTTATGACGTACATCCTGTACATGCATAACCGTTACCCGCAGAAGATCAACATTGCTCGTGGATCCGGCAACATCTGGGGTTCGGAGCTCATGGCGTACATGAGCGCTGCAAAACCCTTCTTCCACAACCCAGAGCCGGTGCCATTCCGTCTGACGCCCAACCTCCAGACGCTTATGGGCCCATTGGCGACGGAGGGTATCTTCAGCTGTGCTCTCATGGCTATCGCGCGATGCCTCACAGAGCCCGAGTACGAGCTCGAGCACGCACTCACGCTCTTTGTGCGCGATGAAATGATTTTCTGGTTCACGAGCTCCCACCGGACGGTGCAAATGACGGAGAACCAGCTCCGCGAATCGGTGCAAGTGAACAGCGACTCAGTGGTCAAGCGGGCCGTGAGCCTGGCACAGAGCCCCGTTGGCAATTTGCCTGCCAACCAGACGGTCATTGACCTCGTCGCCAAGGCTGTCAACCCTATGAATTTGGCGCAGTGCGATGCGTTATGGATGCCATACTTGTAAGAAGACGTGTGAGGAGGACGAAAGGAGACAGGACCTGGAGATTACCCGCGCGTGTGTGTCTCGGGAGGTTACCGTTTTGTATGATTTTAGCAAGGCGTTTGTGGGATGCGAAAGAGGCCTAGGGGGACCTGGAGGTCATGACGGCCATGCATGATTATTTGGCGGGAGAGCAAGGGAGAAAAAAAAAAGAATGGTTCAGAGATGACGATTCCCTGTTGTAATTGTACGGCCGTCTAGTATCGGAAGCTCTCTCACACATTAGCTGGTTGGAGCTCTCGACGTTGAAGCAAGATTACAGCTTCATGATAATCAGATTGTTTGTGTTCAAGTTTGCTATTTGGATGGAAGTTCAATTTGCCTTGTTTTAGACTTTGCAGTGATGGATGCGCCACACATTCACGATTAAAACGAATCGTTGTCTAGGCGAAGATGAACTTTCATGCGTAGAGTTTCGGGAGATCGGGAGAAATGGCAGTGTTGCGGCGCGTGGAAAGCCGGGGTCGACCTGGCTCGGCTAGCCAAGGACCCTTGTCTCCAAGCCTCCCTGACGCCAAACGCCAACTTACCAGAGCATCGGTGACAGTCCGAACTCGCTTGGCCGCCACCACTTCTTTCTCCCCATCGTTTGTGTGGTTCACTCGTTCAGAGGACGAAGTCCGCAACCCGCCCGCCAATACGGACTACGTACCAATACCCACTCACTCACCGCGGAGAGTCCACCGGGCGAGTCGGGGCGCGTTTCTTGGCTTGGCCTTATCAACAAGTAGTTTCTTGAGCTTCCTTATCGGGTGCACTCACACACAAAACTCCACGTTGGAAAGATGGATGACGATTTGTAATCCCGGGGAGTGAGGAGCCATCCGGGGGGTGTGGACTGGGGCACGGCGGACACGGAAATGCCATTCTATTGCTTGCTTGCTCTTGTCGGTATCTTTTTGCCTGTCTGTTTCTCAACACTTCTTATCTTTCAAAAGTCCGTTCTTCATCTTCCCCCTCTTGGCTCTTTGGTTCATAGTCTTTGCCGGTGGCTCTCTCGGCTTTGGTATACCTCAAACTACATCACAGACTCAACTATCAAGTTTGAGTTGTCCAACGCAGTTACTCCACGGTGCCGTATAAGCCTTATCTCCGCCGAGACACGCGACAGCTTAGCAACATCACTGTCCCCATCCCCTTCACCATCGTATCAGCATATCAACGTCGTTCACCATGTCTGCCACCACCATGGACAGCTCGTCCAAGAAGGCGCCTTTGAGCCTCGCGCATCACTTCTCCGAGGTCACGAAGAGGCGTGAGCCCAGCAAGATGAAGGAGTACTACAAGTACTTTGAGATCCCCGGTATTGGGAACCTAGCTGGAGGTTAGTATCCGAAACCCCAAACTCACATTATCACCCCCCGAATAGCTTCGACTCTTTTATTTCAGTCCAGCACGTTTTTTGTCGTTACATCTCTCTGTTTCTCCTCTGCACACTAGTGGTTGCACAACATCGATGGGATTGATTTGGTACCACGATCTATCCAAAGTCCCCAATCCCCTGAGATGGGAAGGAATGCCGCAATATATGCCGTAATGTGCACCTTGCGTTGCGTGCTCCGCGCTCACCGTCACGTACGTGCGGGATCGCGCGTCAACGCTCCAATGATATTCGCAATCCCGATTTCGGCCACACACTACCCTGGAGAAAGCATGAATCGCTGACACTTTTTTGGGAAACCCTGTTTTACAGGCCTTCCGCATTCGAGCTTGTTCCCGTTTGACACCCTCGAGGCGCAGGCGGCGAAGCCCGAACGATGGGAACCGTCTCCGATCCCCGATGACGGCAGCACCACTACGACGCTCCCGATCCGGAGCACCGCTGCCGCCGTCTCGAGCCAGGACAAGGAAAAAGACGTCAAGGCCTCCCGGCACGTCACCGTCCCCGGCACCGACGACGACCGCGACCCGCTCCGCCGCATCGACGTCGCCACGGCGCTGCAGTACGGCACGGCCGAGGGGTACCCGCCCCTGCGGTCCTTCATCCGTCAGTTCACGCGGGACCACCTGCACCCGGACGTGCCGTACCTCGGCGGGCCCGAGGTGATTCTCAGCTGCGGTGCGACCGACGGCTTCTCCAAGACGCTGGAGCTCATTACGAACCCGTGGAGTCCCGCGAAAGATGCCGCGGCGGAACGGCCCGGTATGCTGTGCGAGGTCTTTGTGTACAGCCAGGTCCTGTCGCAGGCGCTGCCGCGGGGCATACAGGTCGTGCCTGTCGAGATGGATGATGGCGGCATGATTGCCAACGGCCCTGGCGGGTTGGAGGAGGTTTTGGCTGGGTGGGATGAGAAGAATGGCAAGAGGCCGCATTTCATGTACACCGTGACGTGAGTTTGCTTCTGTTCTCTCTAAACTCTATCTCTCTTTCTCTTTCCCTGTTTGGGGGGAGGATCGCTACTCTTAAAGGTAAGACAAGGAAACACGGCTAACACGTGGCGTGGGGTAGGATGGGTCACAACCCGACCAGCGGTATCTTGTCCGTTGAACGCCGCAAGGAGATTTACGCCATCGCTAGCAAGTACGATGTCATCATTGTCGAAGACGACCCGTACTGGTACCTGCAGTACCCCTCTGCTGTCGTCGAGGAGGCCAAGTCGCGCGGACTGGAGTTATCTCCCTCTGCTGCACCTCCGACTTACAAGCCCGCCAAGTCTTCCGGCTACCAGTTCCTGGATTCCCTGATCCCTTCGTTCCTCAGCATCGACACCGAGGGCAGAGTCATCCGCCTCGACACCTTTTCCAAGACCATTGCGCCGGGATGCCGCATGGGCTGGATCACGGCGCAGCCGGCCATCATTGAGCGTCTACTGAGGTATGCACGATCCCATCCAACCACAAGGAATCGAAGCAACCATCAAAACTAACACTGTTATCTCCCAGAATCACCGAAGTCACCACCCAGCAGCCCTCCGGCTTCGTGCAATCCACCGTAGCGGAGCTCATCATGGGCGACCAGCCCCCCGCGGCCCGCACCGCCTTCGCCGCCCTCACCTCGCGCCAAAAGCAGACCTTCCAAGGCTGGAAAATGGACGGCTGGGTCCGCTGGCTGTCCGGCCTCCGTGGCGTCTACGAGCGCCGCATGAACCGCATGTGCACCATCCTCGACGAAGGCTCCATCCAGCTCAAACAGTCGACCCCGCGCAGCGCCGACGACGCCGACTGGGGCGTCGTGAGCAAGACGCAGCTCTACGAGTTTGCCTGGCCGCGCGGCGGCATGTTCATCTGGCTCAAGCTCCGGCTCGAGACGCATCCGCTCTGGATGGCGACGGGCGGCGAGAGGATCCCCCTGCTCGACGGGGAGAGGCTGTCGACGGCGCTCATGTTCTTTGCGACCAAGAAGCCGTATCGCGTGCTGGTGAGTCCTGGGTTGATCTTCAGCGCTACGCCGGCGATTCGGGCAGAGAGGGGATGGGCTTATTTCCGGTTGTGTTTTGCGGCGGAGACGGAGGAGAATGTAGACTTGTGTTCGCAGAGTTTGGCGGATGCGATTCAGAGGTTCTGGAGATTCAAGAAAGTGGAGGAGGTGGAGGACATCCTCGGAGACTTTTTCATGGCTCAGGGTGAAGAGGAGGGGCTTGAAGGGTTGGGCAACTTGGGTAGTCTTATGGGATGTTGAGGATCTTTTTAGATCTTTAGGGGATGGACATTTTAATGAATCTGATGAACCAAACCATTCATGGCGTAAGAGGACGTGGGTTATGTACAGCTCACGTTTGATGGAGGCCATGGAGTTTAGAGAACTTTTTGTAGCTACCTTACAGTCACTACGTAATAGAGAGAAAATACAAAAAAAACAAGAAAATGTCATAATCACGTGGATTCAAGTCGTCACGGTCCAGGGGCAGACCAAATACACCAAGACTTTTGTGTGAATTCAAGGGAATCATTTGTCCATTGATGAATTGAGGTCAACATTTCCTAGTTGCCATTACGCCTCAAGCACAAACCATGCTAAAATGTAGCCCCGTCCGTTTCAGAAACCTGCATTCCACCACCGTCGTCAGAACACCCGTCCCAGAGAGGAAACTGTTTATTTCTTCTGGGCAGCCTCCTTGGCGAATACCGAGGCATAGGGGTTCAGGCGGAGCATGACCTGCTTGTTCTTGAGGGGGTTCTTCTTCTGGACCGCGGAGCGGCGGGTGACGGCGTAACCCTTGGGCTCGTTGAGGGCGGACTGAGTTTCCGAGCTGTTGATCAGACGGGTCAAGTCGCTCTGGGAGACGATGTTGGAGGGCAGGAGGAAGTCCTTCTTGAGGGCGGAGGGGGTGGTGGTGGTGCCGTAGATGGTGTCCAGGGACTTGAAGGCGGCCGAGGTCCAGACGACGAAGCGGCCGAGGTGGCCACCGGGGGCGAGCTGGAGGAGGTTGAGGGCGGTGACGGGGGAGGTCTCAACACCGGGGACGTTGCGGAACGCGGTGACGAGCTCCTTTCCGTCGACCTCGGGGTCGTAGATGACCAAGGGGCCGCGGCGCTGGCGGTGGCGGCGGCCACGAAGCTTACCCTTACCGGCGCGGAGCTTCTTGGACTTCTTGACCTTCTCAACGTCGTCGGAGGCACCGACGGTCTTCAGGAGAGAGACAGCGGCGGCAGTGCGGGCGACGGCGGCGTTCTCGAAGAGAGCGGAGTCGACGACCAGGGGGACCTCGGGGACGTTGGAGACCTGGTGACCGCGGGCCTGGAGGAGGGGAGCAACGCCGGAGGCGGCGATAGCGGAAACGGTAGCGTAACGTCTGTGGATTATGCCTGTTAGAAACGCTGGTTCTTTTTTCCGCTGATCTTCACGATCCCCGCAGTGGGGTGATGAAGAATCTGGTGAAGGGAAAAAATCTTACCTCTGGCCCTGGGAGACCTTGACGTGCCACTTGCGCCAGGTCTTGGTAGGGGCGAACATGCGACCGGAACGGCACATGTTACCGAAGGCGGCCTGACCGGCACGGTGAGTACCACCACCGGAGACACGGGGAATACGGGCAACAGCGCGACCTGTAGTGTTTCTGTCAGCACAACGATTCCCCTCTCAGAGTGACGTCTTCCGTAGATTTCTCTCTCTCCAGCTGTCGTGGATCTTCCAATTCGTTGAGAAAGTTTTCGCCTCGGTCCCTCGGACATCCACCACATGGCAGGTTGCATCGTAACTCCCGTCCCAGATGTCTGCTCGAGGTCCCGTTCGCGTTCCTTTCCCCGTCGAATTTTTGGTTCCCCGCTCCAGCTGGAAAATAGAGTCCTTCTCCTCGTAACGCTCTCGCTTCGGATCGGATGTCGACTAACCAGTTCCCCAAGACTCGGCAGAGGTCTGGTGACCGGCCTTCTCGCTGACGGAGTAGGGCTGGCGCTTGTTCTTGGCCAGGCCCTTGTGAACCTCCTGGACGATATCGGGACGGATAGGGCTCAGGAAGACAGCCGGCAGGGTGTGGGTGTTGCCGGAGGACTTGCCATCCTTGCCGATGATGGTGACGGTAGGTCTCGAAGCCATTGTGTTGATCGTTGATTGACCTGTGAAGAGAGAAAAAAAGGACAAGCGGTTAGTTGATGATAATGGAAGGACAGAAAAAGAATTGGAAATCGCCCGGACGCCTTGCTAGAATATGGAGAATTCCGATTTTTTCGTCCAGAGCCAGGGAGTAAAGAAAATTGAGCTTACCTGGGTCAACGGTGGGCTTCAGTGGCTGCTGGTTAGTGACGGGGTTGAAGTTTGCACTTTGGCTTCGCGATCAATTTCACACGACAATGTGAGAAAAAAAATCGGTGTGGGCGGCGGAGACCCTAGGTACCTAGGTACCCAGGTGCCTGTTAGCGAAGCCCGGTTCGAGTCACGTGAGCCGCCAATAAGACAGTGCTTCCCAAAAATGCTCTGACACAGTGCTTGCCCCACCTTCACGGTATGCTGGAGGGCGGGAGGCGGGGCCTGGGGGTTCACGTCAACGGGCCTCTTCAGATCTTGGAAACGCGTGTTAGTACATGCGAGGAATGCGCCGGGTAGTTCATCATCTCTTACAAGTTGATGCAATCTATTCGAGCGATTTAAATATTATACCAAGCGAGTTGAGATGGTTTTGTCTTGGTCTGGCGTTACAGCTGAGAGCATCTCAGGTGCATCCCACAAGGTGTACAACTCACTTCCCTTTCAGCGCCTCGGGCAACATTCCGTTTCGTTGCCATGTTCTACCTTAAAGCTAATCAATGTTCGAATTAGCCCGGATTGAATTCGCACCATCGCACCACACAAAACTGACTGTTTGGTTCTAGGTACCATGGGTAGGTACGCTGAGTGAGAGACGTGTAGGACGGCAGTAAAGTCGTCGATAGACACGCTATCTTGCACATCGCCCCCCAAACTGCAAAAATAGAAGCTGCTTTCGAATTATAACTGTAACCACTAATCATCCGAGAAATGACATACGACCGGCCCCATCTATATCCTTGGCACATAGCCTGTGAGTTGAACACATCTCAGTAAAAGAACCCCCAGGCCTCCAGGTTACGTATAAGTGCAACCGCGTGATCACGTCTACTTCCCAATGTCCCCAGGCTCAACCCAAGGCCATGCAACTCCAAGTTCGAGTCGCAGCAACAACTTCAGACAAAACTGGATCCGGCCTCACAATTCCAGCAAAATTGCAAAAGAATTGGGCCCTAACCAGGATTCGAACCTGGGACCTCTCCCAGACGTGTCGTAGCGACCCTAAGGGAGAATCATACCGCTAGACCATCAGGGCAGAGAAGGTATCTTCTTTTATTGTTGAGAAAACCGTTGATTCAGACATTCATATTCCATTACTAGCTTGTCCCTTACTTACCTCCGCCCCTCTCCCTAAGTAGCTGGAAGCTCAAAGCTCGCCGCCTCTCAGTCTTTGTAAGGTTGCAGCTTTGCTACGATTGACAAATCAAGGCTCTGCATCTGTCTCTTAGCCATCACTCGTCCAGGCTCACAGGCACACACGTGAGTTCAGGCTATCTTTCCCGCCAGTGAGGAGGGCGAAGGGCATCCGGATCTGATTAGATGCAGAATGCCAAAATGCTATCCGAAGTCATGCTATCAGACCCCAGACAAGGGCGCAAAGATCCCTGTCAACCGCTCCAGAGATAAGGTAGAACGCTACGCGTCCAGTGTCGCAATCGAACGAATCCTTTTGCTCAATGTCGGCATCCGAGCCTGTTACTTCATTATACCCGAGCTGGCCTACTTTGACACTCGACTTACCTCCCCTTAGATATTTCTCAAAAGTTAGTAAAACGTAGTCTAAGAGAGACTGAGAAAAGAGTGACCCTGAACACGCCAAAATCAAGCTTCTGGGATCCCACCACTCACCTTGCATGGATTTGAAAGGTCGCTGTTAAGACTTAACGCCTCTCGGCCCCAAGCTGAGCAAACTCAAAGTAAGCTCATCCGACGATGGCGGACCTCCTCCGCACCGACGAAACCTCGCCGTTTCTCCAACGGCCCCCGGCCCCAACAAGATCCCGCGATACTTCCCCGGCGGCATCGGCGTCACACAAACTCACCCTCTTCAACGGCCTCGCAATCGTCATCAGCCTACAAATCGGCTCGGGAATTTTCAGCGTGCCCTCACAAATCAGCCAGTTCGTCACTGCGCCAGGCTACGGCCTTCTGGCCTGGCTCTTTGGTGGTATCCTTGTCTGGACGGGCGCTGCCTCCTTCATCGAGCTCGGATTGCGCATCCCCAATAATGGCGGCATCCAGGAATACCTGCGCGCCTGCTACGGCGAGTTCGCCGGGTTCTTGTTCACATGGGTCTGGTGCACCATCATCAAACCCGCGGCGAACTCAATGATTGCGACGATTTTTGCGGATTATCTCACCGAGGCCTTTGTCGCAGACCAAGAGACGCTGTCGTCTTGGGTGTCGAAAGTGGTGGCGGCGAGCTGCATCGTGATCATGACGCTGGTTAATTGCCTCGGCGCGACCGCGGGCGCACAGGCGGCCAACGTGTTTCTCTTTCTGAAGATGGCGGCTCTGACCATCATCATCGTTCTTGGCTGTGGCGTCTGGGCCTTTGGTCACGGAGAGGGTGTTCCCTCGTCCGAGTATGGATGGTTTGGCCAGGCTCCCGAGCAGCGCGAAATAGGTCTTTGGGAGTGGCTCGGTGATTTTGGGACGGCAACGTTTGGAGCATTGTGGTGCTATGCCGGCTGGGAAATGGTGAGTTTGACTGCTCGCCCGGTTGAGCCGTGAACAAGAACTGAATATCCGGCAGGTTGGCTTTGTCTTGGGAGATATGAAGAACCCAAGGAGAGATCTGCCCCTCGTAATCAATGGCTCCATGATTGTAGTGATCATCGGCTTCATGCTGATGAATGCGGCTCTGTATGTCTGCCTGCCGATGAGCGTCATGCGGACGAGCAGCACTGTCGCTGTGGTAAGTATCAAGTGAGCCGGGTGAGCATAGTTGTCAGGCTGACACACGAGAATAGGACTTCGCGAACAGAATCCTCGGAACTTGGGCTGGGCTTCTCTTTTGCATCATAGTATCCATCTCGGCAATGGGTGCTTTGAACTCTAACGTGTTCGGGACTGCCAAGCTCGTCGTTGTTGCTAGTCAAAGGGGATATTTCCCTTCGATCCTGGCAAATCTTCACTGTAGTCACGAAAAGGACGAGGCTGCGTGTGTCGACGAATATCTCGCATCTGCGCCAAGACTGGTCCGAGGACCCATCAGGGGTTTCTTGTCTTGGACCCAGAATCGCAGGTGGAGGCGAAACGTGCCGTTACTTCCCCTTATGCTGAACTGTGCCTTGTCAATCGTATATGTAGCTGTCGGAAGCTTCAATGGGCTCGTCACTTTTATCGGTGAGCCTCTTCGTCTGGAAAGCGATCGCACAGGATTATCAATTGACACATAGTCCAGGACTGGCGGCTTACATGATCTTCTTCTCGTCGGCCGTTGGACTCATCCTTCTCCGTAGGAGAGACGGCCGCATGCCGGGGGCGAAGGCTGCCGAGTATAGCACTTGGCTCATCAATCCTGTCATCTTCAGCGCCATCAGTGGCCTGTTGGTTGTCAGAGGAGTCATCTCAGAACCTCTGCAGGGAGGGGCCATTCTCTTGGTCGCCTTATTCGGCGTCGGCTTTTTCTCGCTCAGGTTTGGCTTGCGCGGCTTCACCCACGCAGAGACCGAATAAGGCTCGCCCAGCCATCCATATTTCCGTTATGGTCGTGCAGCAGCTTCATTGCTTCCCCGGCCGAAGCAGTCAAACGCGGCTGGCCTGTCCGCTCCGGAGCTTGGACTGTCCTCTCAAGCACGCTCTCCGGTCAACCCTGAGTTTCTTAAGTTTGTGACGCGATAAAGGCTAGCCAAAGTTGCTCTTGCAGAACAGACTCGCAGAATACAACAGCACAGCTCCCAACGGCTGTGAGTTTGGCCTGCTTCCCCACAGCTAGCCAAGTCGCAGTCGAGTGTCAGCGGTGAATCTGCAGGAGTTAGGCACGTTGGATGCCGGAGGCGGAGAGGTCTGTGGAACTTTGGGCAGTGGTAAGGTCCGTGTTGGGCCTGAATGCCTCCTTGTTCCTAGGCAAGTGGAAGGCGTCGTGAAACTGTACCAGAGTTGATGCTATTCAAAGACGTCAGGGAACGGCCGTGGCCCCAAAGATAGGCTTGTATCCACGCTAGACGAGGCAAAATGCACGGTGTCTGAAGAGCTTGGATAACCATGATCAGGGGCGACAGTAGTTAGCTTCGGCACAATTGACTTGAGATCTTTAAGTGATTTGCAATGTCAAAGTCGTCCAAAATTCGAGCTTTTGATCATATTAAACGGGGGCCGTTATTGTGGCGTGAGAAATGCTGCACTGGAATCCCACCGCTCTTTCTCAGTGCAGATCATCAGAAGTGAAGGGTGTCGATGGCAGTCTGAATGACGAGCTGGCGTAGATAGCTGCAGCTCTAAGACGTCGGAGACTTTGGGTGTTCTAGAAAGGTAGACTTTTGCTATCCACCACTCGCGGCAGCTAGCCGTGTGCATGACCCCATTGTGGGATGGAGAGGGAGAGAGAGAGAGAGAGAAGAGGCGAGTGTCGAAGCCTGAAGGTGGGTGTGGGTGTGGGTAGGACGGCGTCTGACATGGCCACAACATCTCTGCTAACTTTTCAAAGAGAGATACGTGAGGTGGCCTGGATTGCTGCATCTTCTCTGTCATGAATTAGTGCTAGAAACGCAAGATAAGGGGCGATGCGTTTTGCTTCACATTATTCGCGAAACTACCTGGGACAATGTAACGGGCGGATTGAAGACATGTTGCGAAGGACCGATGCCCCGTCTTATCGCCAAGATACGAACTCAATGTTATCCGCGGGACCGGAAAGTGTAGGTTGATCTCCGGATTTCGTCACATCATAGAACAAGCGGGCAGGTCGGCATCCGGATACTAAAAGGGCGAGCCTTGGGAATTGACCGTGGTACCAGGCATGGGATCCAACGTAAACTAAGCCTCGCTCCTCACCTGTACGACGACTAGTCGGCCGTTACCTGACCTCACCAAGAGTACACGGAAACGCCGCGTGGCGCATGCTGCTGTCGCTCTGGGCCAATGGCAGATGGACAATGGCAGATGGACAATGGCAGATGGACCGTTGGAGTCTCGTTAGGAGAACCCTCGTAAGCGTATGCTTAGCTTGCCCTAGTCGTCAGATGTTCTTGTTTGACCACAACCAACAAATTACGGCCAATTCGTGTTCATCTTGAGACGAGGATATAGTAGACCAGGGTATCTGTAGATGGGCTTCGTACCCAGATAGGTATGCAAAGATCAGGGTCAGGCCCCGTCAGGGCAAATCCGTGCAACCGTGAATAGGTTGAAATGCAGGCAGGGACGGCAGGCTGTCGTGGTACCGTGCTAGGCCTCATCGCAGGTGGATGGTCGAATCGACAGCGTCAGTTGCCCTAAACAGGTTCCCAGCATATGCAAGAAGGTATCAAGCTAGGTAGGCCGGACGTGAGAACCGGGTGGAAAGTGGATACAGGTCGATGCCGATGCACTTTGGCCTTGGGCCGTCCGCACGCTCGAACGTTTGTTAGGCTTTGACCTTGGATGTTGGAGGGGGGCTAAAGGGCTCCATCTGCACGATGCGCCGTGGGCATGGCCATCTTGCCATCATTTGTATGCATGTCGGAGAGGACGAGAAGCAAGGGCGAAAGAAAGTGTGGAAATGCTGCCTCTCGGATCGAGTCATCGCCACCATCCATTCCGAAAAGTTGAGTAATGATTTGTGTCTGGTTGTATTTTTGTATTCCTGGACAGACACTCAGTGTGACAGAGTAGGTATTCGCAAAGAGAAGAGAATAGAATTTTCTTTAGGTGAACAACACATCGGCTGCATGGCTGCAGGTGGAGAGGGAAACCTGGCGATGTTTTGTTTGTTGTTGGAACTTGGAAGACGGCAATGCAATGGCCTTGGTGGTCTCCCACAGACAGCCAGTTGGCTGGCCGAACAAGAGGAATATGTGAGGCTGGGAGGCTATAGTTCGGTCATCCGGGCCCAGTGCGGCAGGTTTGTTGTGATAAGGCGCGAGAGGATCTTCCCGTGCCCTCAAACTCTGAATCCAACATCAGAGAGTTGCGTTCTTGGGAACGTTGTCACCTCGGTGACCGCAGGGCACTGACTGTGAAGCTATGTTCCTTCCCTGAATGGCGACGGCGGAGGGCACTGAACAGGCAATCCTGGAAAGAGCCATCGAACGCCCGGGGCAGCTGGGGGGCATTGAGCTGACTGGCTGGATGACAAGAACCAGGAAGGCCCTTCCTACGTGCCTGCTTTCCGGCTGAGGTATCTTGGTATCCGTCTTGACTACGGACGGAGTACCAAGCTTACCTACGCACCTACGGTATTACGGTACGGAGGAACATGGATCTGCCCACCTTAGTAGTAGGTATCTAGGTATCCGTAGGACGGCAGGAAAGACAGCCCAGCCCGCCCCGGGATAAACACACGCGTGCACAGCAGCAGCCAGCACCACAGACACCACAGCACCACAGCACCACAGCAGCCCAGCCCGGGTGGGGATACAAATTACCTCTAGCCTGCACACCTGCGCCGCACCCCGTCATCATGGAGGGGCACCAAAACGACAACACTTTCCCACCCTCAGTTGCTCCTCCCCCCCCCTCCTCATCATCCACCCCCCTGTCGGCCATGTTCAAATAAGGACTGGCACCTACGCCGCATCTTCAACGCTTCCCACATCCCACCTTTCCCCTCCCCGCCTGACACCAAACAAGACGCCTTCTTCAATATAGCCCGTCTTTCTTACCCCCAGCCGTCTATGGGGAATTCGTGGTGGTAGAAATCTTCCGCACCTCTTAGGTTTATTTCGACCTTAACATCGACAACTCCCCCCTCCCACCGCCCGGCCAGTCGGAACGCTTCTCAACTCTTACTCGTCCTTGACCGGGTCTGCTTTTGCTTTCGCTGACGCGACACCGCCACTTATATCTCGATCCATACATATCTTACCTTGGACAAGAAATATTGCTGGCTGCCATAATTACAGTCAGTAAGACCACGTCCAGAAAACACACCTCAGCTGAAGAAACGAAACGTTGCGCAAGGCTGCGACGACCGCCTGAGAGACCGGGGTATTTCGCTCCCGTCCTCGTCAGCTGCAGAGACACACGATGCCTTCAAAGTCCCGACAATTTGTCTGAGTTTTCGTTCCCATCTGGCACTACAACTCTCCGAATATGAGCGAATCACGCAACATAGAAGATCTTTTACAGACGGGCTTCTTTACAACCTCTAGGGCTAAAACCCCCAAACAGTAAGCCCATTTGTCCTTACGTCTCTGCTGTATATCACGTCTTACACAAGTCACAGACCTAGCACGGATGCTCCGGCCGTTCCTCCTCATGTCTCCAGCATCTCCAATATTACCCGACCGGCCTCCAACCCGGATCCGCTGGTACCCAGAACCTTCGACCCGCCATTAAGGCTCACCCGACGCAAACACTTTCCACCCCCGCCAACCGTCGAAGATGAGACCGAAGCACTCCAAAAAGAGCACGGCAGCACTGCCTCGCTCGTCAGCGACACCGAGCCTCCATCGCGAGGTGACGCCGATCAATACCCCATCATATTGGAGGTACACGAACACAACCCTGAACGCCGATTTGTCCTGGTGCCAAAGTCTGCAAGCGGGACAGAGGATGAAGATTCGTCAGACGACGCCAAGGCTCGCGCCGCCGAACGCTCGCGGCATGCGAAGCCTGAGATCAAGGGCGACTACGGAGCGAACTACGAGGCGAACACTGGTAGAAAATACCGGGCACCTCCAACAGAGGATCTAAATCAACACAAGCGACCGGACCTCGAGAAGAAGAAGAGCAGACAAGAGCTTCCACGCATTGAAACTGATGTCAGGGACGAGCAAAGCCGGTCTCGGAAACACGAACGAACAAAATCTGCGACTCGCGTGGAGCAGCAATCTGCCGACTACTTCTCACCACAGGACGACAAGAGACAGCCCAAGGAGCCTCTTCTCTCACCACAAGTGATCAAGCATGCAACAGGTGGGCGCGAAAAAGCATATTACGACTATTCGCAATCTGCTCGGAATGGTGCCCCGCGGCCCCAGAGAAGCCGCTCGAACCTGGCCGATGACAGCAGAAGGTTCGACGACAAATACACACGTCAAAACGCATCATCGAACCCGCCGCCGACGCGTCGCTCCAACACTAATATTGACTCTCCGCCCAAGGAGTCAAGAGTTGCATCCGGCGACAGGTTGAACGAATCTCCTCGCTACCAACGAGAACGGGTCGTACCGCGTGGCGAACGCCCACAGAAGAAGGATCCTTCACCGCCCTATGATCGTTCGGACCGCGAGCGTGAGCGTGAGCGTGAGCGCGATGGTGGTTCGAAGCGCACATCCAATTCCAAGCGCGATACTCCGCGACGCAGGGATGACAGTGGCTCCAGCAGCAGCGATTACACGCAAACTCCACGGACAGCCAATATTCGGCGGAGAAAGTCGATTGTAGATCAAGAAGACAAGGATATTTTGCTGAGTCCTGCTCAGCTCAAGCCGTCTCAGTTGGCCAGGTCGAGATCGCGGCCTCCCCCGGCAGAAGTTGTGATGCCATCTCCACGAGTATCCACAAAGTCGTTCGCTGACGACATTCCGCCTCCTCCTCCGCCTCGATCTTCACAAACATTCCCAGTGACAAGGGAACCCAAGGACAATGGAGATTTCAAGGAGAAGTCTGTTCCGTACCCTGATGACGATATATTGCCCAGAATTAGTCGCCTCAGCGTCCGCGATCCCGAGTCGCGTCCCTCGAGAGCGCGATCAAGGTCTCGGGCATCTACCTTTCACAATCCAGTGATAGTACCAGCGGTCATGCCTGCCATGCCTGCTCCTGCTGGACCACGGAGCCCAACAGAAAAGAGACGATCGCCTGAGAGAAGGGCCAATCTGAGTCAAACGATTCCGCCAATGGAGGCATGGCCACCAGCCAAGTTTGACCCGGCGAAGAGCGCGCCGGTCGTCGACGGCCCGAGAGGTAGCTACCGGCGATACTCGCACGATGCAGACCGCGGTGGTGTATCGGATTTTCCCGATTGCCCTCGGAAGAAGGGCATTGTAGGCAAGGCCGATTGGCTTAGTTTGCCAAGGTGCGACAACTTCAACATCTGTCCAGACTGCTACAACGGGGTGTTCCTCAACACCGAATTTCGCAACGACTTTATGCCCATGTTGTTCCGACCGATGGACAAGCCAATTGCCTGCGATTTCGGGTCCATTGGGTGGTATCACATCGCGTGGTTGTTGACGTTGAAGAATCGTCTGACGGACTTGCGCCTATTCTATCAGGTCGCCAATGTCACCAGCAAAGCGACTACTAGCATTCAGCCCTGTTCGGGAGACCGTCGGAATACCCGCGTTTGGTACTCGATCAAGAACCCGTATACGCAGATGACGATGCCAGACTTCACCGTCTGTTACGAATGTGCCAAAACCATCGAGGCGCTCCTCCCCAACCTGATAGGCCTGTTCGTTACGCTCCATCCCACGGCACAGCCCACGAGGAGCGTGTGCTCGATGCACTTCAACCCCGATCGAAAGCGTTTCGTGATGTATTTCGATGCGCTTGAGACGACTTCGGATCTCGCCCTGGCAACAACCCAAGCGCCTAACCTTGGGAAGCTTGTGACAGACATTGAAAATCTTTCCGTGTTTGCAGAGTGCTCCAAGGACAACCCAGTATATGATCAAAACTGGCACGTCATGCAATTCCTTCCCCAGTTCACTGTCTGCGGTGACTGTTTCGACGAGGTGGTGGCGCCCCAATTAAAAGACGGCAACGTCATTGCGAGGAACTTTTATGTGAAGCCACAACGCTTAGAAGAGGCGTCGTGTCAGCTGTATTCCATCAGAATGAGGGCCGTCTTCGACAAATCTTGCCGTCTTAATGAGCCCAAGTACCTCGAGGCCAAGGTGATTGAGCGGCAAAAGATATTTGCGGAGACGTACAAGAGGATGGCAAAACTAGAGCAGGAGAGGACCCAGTGGTCTCGAGAGGAGAGTAAGAAGCTGCTTCAGGAATGGGAAAAATGGGAATGACGAATGCGTATGAATGAAATGAACATGAGAAACGGACGAGCATGTGGTAGGGATCAGCTTATCCCACGGCCTGGATCGCCATAGAGCCTCTAGGAGACTTATGAGTACATTGAGAGAATAATAGTCTGTAAGAAATTGGAACAGCCATTGTGATTGTCGAAAGCTTTGCCATGATGCGTAATTATGATGTACCTCTTCTTCGAACCTTGGGCCTACATGTTTAACAACACTTTCCTCGGTCGTTTAGTGATTGGTTCTCATTTCTCTCGATAGGGTGCCAATTAAGGTTGTGAATATACAGTCACTCATATACGTGAGACAACATGTCTAGGTCCAACCTGTGAACTCTACTAAAGGCATTGATAATGCTAGATACTTAACATGGGGTAAGGTCCATGGATCATTCGGCTCGGTGTTTATATGGCTCTCCATCGCTCAAGAAAGAAGGATGCCCATGGAAGCGAATCGTACGGCTCTTGTCCAACCAAGGTGCTGATTTCCGACGGGTGAACTTCACATGCGTTGTGATGCACCCGCTCCGTCTATCAAGGTCTCGGAACCACAGAAGCAAGATGACCGGTCCAACGGTTTCCCGAAACGGGAGTACTTGCAGATCGGTGGCTGCCACGACTCTGCGGCGTCATGGTACGACTCTAGGCTGACGGCTAACGGCCCCAGAAATTTTGTGATGTGTGAGGTGGACGTCTGCGGTGTGCTTTCTTTTGTTAGGGTCCGAATTGCGGCTGGAGTTCAATGCTGGTCTATCACTCTATCTGTTTCGGTGACACGAGGCGGTACTTTGATGAATCCTACTTGCTCACAACAACAGTGATTCTCCATAGAAGAGGTTTGATCAAGTGGCCCATGTGTCCGGAGTAAAAAGGTCGATCTCGTACCTCGGGATCCGCGGTCCATGTGCTTGCTCAACAGTCGTTTTGGGTCTTGACTTGGGCTCGCCTCGGTCGATCAAAGATGCAAAAGGACTAACTAGTACGAGGGGGGTGTGGTACATATTTGAGATATTTGTCCTCCTTTGCGAACCCTGAACAGTAATGCATTGCGAGAAAGGGAAAATCCGGCATATGTGGCGCAGAACACCTTTTTGGGGTTTTCGGTAGAGCCACAACAAGCCATGAACCATCCCAACATCACAGTTGGCAGGCGAGACCGAAAATAGTCATGCAGCGGTTCCCTCATTGACGAGTGGAAAAGAGATGCGAGAAGGGGTGTGATGCACGGGCCCTGTTCCCTCAAATAATCCTGTACGTTGCATGTGTGACAGCCAACTTTGCCGAACGTCAAAAAAGATCCCAACCCTTGGAACTACATTGCACACAGAAGGACTGCAGCAAGCAACATCGGATTCCCGTCTGCACGACTGCAGGTTCGCATGTCATGTAGCTATGCGTCGTCCAGTGTATTCGGGTTCCCTCTCGTACAGGAGGAAAACCTGCATCTACTGCCCCCAAAAGGTCGGATCATTACCCACAGAACTTCCAAGTTTAGAGCAACAGAGAGAGAGGGGATGATCGGTTCCCCATTTCTCTAATACGAGTTCTGTATCGCGAACTCATCGTGAAGGAGGGCCCCAAACTCGGGAAACCCTTTGCTCAACCCGCTGCAAAAGCTGCAAACCAATCCACCAATCCACCAAAGAGATCCAGATCTTCCAGAGGCTTGGCATACAAGTCTAAAATGTTTACTCGTCTCTTTTGGCTTCCGGTTACACGTCTGTGGTCGCAAGGGGGTTCCGCGGCCAATCTTGAGACGGAGAGGCTGCCAAGTTCGCAACCGCAACGGTTTCATCTCTCCCCGTACCCGAACGCACAGCCTCGCTCGCCTCGCTTCTCGCACACAACATCACAGTCCATGTCTCTCATCATCGCTATCTACCTACACTACTGTGTCCTGTGACGGTGGAAAAAGGGGTGGAGAGTTCATGGCGGTGCGACACGATGGCAAGGGCGCCTGGGGTTCGGAAACGTCGTGTACGGGGGTTGACGCAGCAGAAAATGTGCCACGACGTTGGGTGTTCGACGAAGTCGTCCAAACTCGGTCATGGGGAGGGGGGGTGGTGAAAGTCCCCTCCTTTCCTCCCAGGCTGTCTCTCTTGTTGTTCTCCTTCACGTCATTCTCGTCTCTTTCTCTCTTTCCCCAACCCTACCCTCCTGTGCCTCATCTCGGCTTCATTGACTATTGTCTCTGGAGCATTCCTTTCTTTTCCGTCAACGCGAGACCGTTACGAAGACTTGTTTACAAGTCTATTCCATTCTTTACTCCTGGTCGAGTGCTCTCGCTGTGTACGGGTTGTTTCAGGCTTCTCTTGTTTAATCTTTCCCTTTGCAGTCCAGGAGACATTTTCAGTAAACGAGTTTTGTTGGTGATTTATTTTTATGTTGTTCTGTATCCCTTTATAGCCAATTGAACCAACTATCTGTCTGGTACGGTCACATCGAGAGCCAAGACGACAGGCAGCAAACAATACCCACGAAGGAGCTGTGGTCTCGGTCTGATCTCCCATAACGAGTCACAATATCTACACCGACGACGACGACAACTTGCAACTCACAGTCCATCATGCGGGGGCTCTTGAAGGTTGCTGGCGCGGTATGCGTGCTGGGCCAGCTTACGGACGCGGCTGTCAAGATCAACTTTGACCAAGACCAGTCTATCAAGGATGGTGCAAGCACGATAGCTTTCGGCTTGTTGAAGTTCTACACAGGAAACAACACTGGCGACACACCAGGCAACTTGCCAGACCCGTACTTCTGTAAGTGATTTCATCGAGGGATTCTCTATCCAACTCTATTCTAACAAAGCATTAGGGTGGGAGGCTGGAGCAATGTTTGGCACAATGGTGGATTACTGGCGTCTGACAGGAGACGATACATACAATGCAGTAACAACACAAGCACTACTTCACCAAGCAGGCGATGATGCCGACTTCATGCCGAGAAACCAGACGAGGACGGAGGGAAATGATGACCAAGGATTCTGGGCCATGGCGGCAATGAGCGCGGCGGAAAACAACTTCCCGAACCCTCCATCAGACAAGCCTCAGTGGTTGGCGCTCGCGCAGGCTACCTTTAACCAGTACGTTAGCCGCTGGGATATGGAGACGTGCGGCGGTGGATTGCGGTGGCAGATCTTCACGTTCAACAACGGCTTCAACTACAAGAACTCGATTTCGAACGGATGCTTCTTCAACATCGCGGCTCGACTAGCGCGGTTTACCGGCAATCAGACGTATGCGGACTGGGCGGAGAAGATATGGGACTGGGAGACAAGCGTTGGTCTGATCACGCCCGAGTTCAAGATTTACGATGGCGCCACGGTCGACAACGGAATGAACTGCAAGGACATCGACACGATCCAGTGGTCGTACAACGCGGGCATCTTCCTGCACGGTGCCGCGACCATGTACAACTTGACCCAGGACAAGAAGTGGTTGACGCGAACCGAGGGCGTGCTGACGGAAGCGACGACGCTGTTCTTCAACCAGACTGCCATGTTCGAGCAGGCCTGCGAGGCATTCAAGCTGTGCGACCAGGACCAGCAAAGTTTCAAAGGGTACTTCACGAGGTGGATGGCCGGAACGGCGCAGGTGGTGCCCTCCCTGTTCGACAAGATCATGGGTCTTCTCCGGCCCAGCGCCGAACTCGCCATTGCCGCGTGCAACGGGTCGCCAGCAGCGGGGTACAAGGGCCAACCGGGCACGGCGTGCGGGTTCCAATGGGTGCCCAAGGGTCAGTTCGACGGCCAGGTCGGCGTGGGCGCGCAGATGAACGCGCTCGACGCCGCCATGTACATGCTTGTGAAGAAAGCGGACACCAAGACGGCGCCGGTGACGGCCGACACGGGCGGCACTTCGGTGGGAAACGCTAATGCCGGCATGAGCTCGCAGCCCAAGATCCCTACGTTGCCGCCGATCGAGACAAAGGATAAGGTAGCTGCTGGATTCGCTACGACGGCCATTACTTTGAGTATCGTGGCCGGGTGCTTTTTTATCATGAAATGAGAAAGGGGGCATGGTAGTTTGATTCAGCAGCATTTATTCAGTACTTGGGTTCTCAGTCGAACAATTTAATCTGGTAAAGGCATGGGATGAGGCGTTTTTTTCTTTTTTTGGGGGGGGGGGGGGGGGGAGGGAGACTAGCTTTGATAGCAGTCTGTCATGATACACTGGCATTGGTATGTGGGCGGCAACAAATGTAACAGACCTCTATCCAGAAGAGGGTTCGGGTTTACGATATACCCTACATACATGTACATTTACATGTACACATTTTATTCTCATGATGCCAATTTGGTCTCCGATGCTCTGTCGCCTGGACTTTCCCTCGCACCGCAAAATCTAGAACATGCACAAGCAGTCGCTTCATAAAGACCACTCAACGACAAAGAGCGCTTATACTGTATCAAAATTGAAGACAAAGTCAGGTAGGCTCCCACACGGCAACACTTGCTGTCGTGAACCGCTCAAATTTCACTCTTTCATTTTCTTTTAGCGTTGCGCGAGGTTAAAATCTCCCAATTCGTACAGTGCAAACACAAACTGGTAAGTTGGTAACGACATCGGCGAGACCCCGGGGCGCTTGCGCTTGCCGGATGAGGTGACGTTCCCACCCCCGCGGGCCCCGCACAAGGTACATCACACCCGACCCCGCGGCGCAGAGCTGTTGGGAACGTAGGTGGGAGAAAGAGAACCACTGAGGACCTGGACCTAAGAAGAACACTGGAGAGAGAGAGAACGAAGTTCGGGTGGGACGTCATGGTCGTCCAATTACTCGGTCCCCTGGGACCGACTTACATAGACTCGGGTTGTTCCCCCGTTTGCCTTGTGAATGAGAAGGATTGCTCCCTCGTTCTCTCCTCGTCTCCCCTCTCAACTACTACCATCCCCTCATATCTGATTCCGAGGACAATCTTGGATCATTTGGCTCTATCTCAACTTCAAGAGCACCCATTACCATAGGTGACTTTGTCTAAGCTAGAGAAAAGCTCCATCTCATCTGGGCCTCACATCACACCACAACACATCTCACCCCATCATCATCACCAGGCAAAACATATCCGAAGCAGAAAAAAGCACACCTTCAAAAATGTCAGCCAAACACTTCATCAACGACCCAACCAAGCTGGTCAACCAGGCCCTCCACAGTCTCACCCTCACAAACCCAAGCCTGGCCCTCGACAAGCCCAACAAGATCATCTACCGCAGACCGACACCCGATGCCGCCCAAAACAACAAGAAAACCGTCTCCGTCGTCTCGGGCGGCGGCTCCGGGCATGAGCCTTCCTTCGCCGCCATGGTCGGCCAGGGCCTCCTCTCCGCCGCCGTGGCCGGCACCATCTTCGCCAGCCCGAGCGCAGAACAGGTCCGGACGACCGTCGCCTCGCGCGTCGATACCGGCGCCGGCGTTCTCGTGACGGTCATGAATTACACGGGCGACGTGCTCAACTTTGGCATGGCTGTCGAAAAGGCACGCGCCAGCGGTCTGGATGTCGAAATGGTTGTCGTCGGCGACGACGTCGGTGTCGGAAGGGCCAAGGCCGGGAAAGTCGGCCGGAGGGGCATCGCGGGCACGGTGCTCGTGCACAAGATTGCCGGCGCGCTCGCGGCGCAGGGTCGGGCGCTGGCCGAGGTCGCCAAAGTCGCGCGGCTGACGGCCGAGAACCTCATCAGCGTCGGCGCGAGCTTGGAGCACGTTCACGTTCCCGGGCGCGCGGTGCCGAGCGGCGAGGAGGAAGGCGCGCTGAAGCTTGGGGAGGCGGAGCTGGGCATGGGGATTCACAATGAACCCGGCTCCGGTCGGGAGAGCGCGGATCTGGAAGGGTTGGTGGGCAAGATGCTCACGCAGCTGCTGGACCAGGGCGACAAGGATAGGGCCTTCTTGAACGTCAACTCGAATGAGGTCGTGCTGCTGATCAACAACCTCGGTGGCGTGAGCGCGCTCGAGCTCGGGGGCATTACGGCTGAGGTCGCGGCGCAGCTGGAGGGCAGCTATGGGATTCGACCCGTGAGGATCCTGAGCGGGACGTACATGACAAGTCTCAATGGCCTGGGTTTCAGTATTTCGCTGCTCAACGTCGTCAACACGGATATCGGCGGCCCGAGCATGATCCAGCTGCTCGATTACCCGACCGAGGCCACGGGCTGGTCGTCGCCTATCCTCAAGGAGACGTGGGAGGCCAAGAACCAGGCCACGCGGGAGGAGGCGGCGGACGCCGGGCAGGCGACGAAGCCGAGCGATCTCAAGTATGACGCTGCCGCGGCGACCAAGGCTGTCACAGGTGGGCTGCAGAGGGTTATCGCGGCCGAGCCCGAGGTGACTAGGTATGATACCGTCGTCGGTGACGGCGACTGCGGCATCGGTCTGAAGAGAGGAGCTGAAGGTAAGAGATCGAGCTTATCCCCCTCATCTAGACTGTCACGATATGCATGCACAGTCCGCTAACACGCTTTACAAATCACCAGCAATCCTCAAGCACATCTCACAGAACCCCCTAACAGGCGATGCCGTCGTCGACCTCGCCTCCGTGGTCCCCGTCGTCGAGAACACAATGGACGGCACATCGGGCGCCCTCTACGCAATCTTCCTCAATGCCCTCACCGCCGCCCTCCGCAGCCTGTCCCCCGGCACCGCGGACGGGAAAACCTGGGCCGCCGCCCTGAAGCAGAGCAGCGACGCCATGTCGCGGTACACGCCCGCGCGCCCGGGCGACCGCACCCTCGTCGACGCGCTGTATCCCTTTGTCGAGGTCCTCGGCGAGACGGGCGACGTCAAGAAGGCGGCCGAGGCGGCGCGGGCGGGCGCTGAGACGACAAAGGGCATGAAGGCCAGCCTGGGAAGGACGGTGTACGTTGGCGGCTCCGGGTTCGAGCAGGTGCCTGACCCTGGCGCGTGGGGGTTGAGCTGCTTCTTTGGTGGGTTGGCGGGCATTGAGGGTGAGGATGGGTGGGAGAAGCTGTAGATGAACAGATGCTGGGTCCCGAGATGTTAAAAGCTGTCTTCCTATGTAGGACGGATATCGCGCCTGTTTGAGTAGTAATTTCCCTGGATAAGTGAATCGGATAGGGGGGATTTGTGGTTGCACAGAGGCTTGGAAATCGGTAGAATGCACAAAGCGCGAGGGAGAAAATGAAAAGAACCCAAATGATCCATTTTATCTTCAACGCCTATCTCATCCCGTTTTGAAACAGAAACCACTTTACCGTGGGTATTTATGCGAAACTTGTTCCGCTCAAGTTTTTGGTTCGTCCGCTGCTCTCCCCCCCGCCTCTCTCATACGATAGGGTACGGCAAGCCCCAGTACCATATATCTCATTCAGGCTCCCAGTTCATTTCGCTGAGGCATATTTCTTCATATGGCCGGATAATGTAGTCTCCCGTTCTCCCCGTTTTCTTGACCCCCAGCGTTCTTATACGTGGTCCAGACGTTTATCATAGAGGGCCGTTTACAAAGACTAGCACACTCAACCCCTTCGCGTTCACGATCGTTGAGTTCGTTCAGCTCAAAAGCACCAGAATGACGCTATCACCACGGAGGAACCTGTATGAATGTTAGCTTCTGCCTCTCGGGAATGGGCGCGTGTAGCGGGTCGTCAACTGACATCTTGCTGATGAAGCGGTCCTTGTTCACAGGACGACCCTTCTTGCCATTCGCAAGACGCGGCGTCTCTGTCCACATTTCCTATAGTATTCTAACGTCAGCCTCGCTCTTTGTGGGTTTCTTGCGCCGGGCAAAAGGAGGTGTGCGCACCTTGACGTTCTCGAGAACCATGTTGCAGTGTCTGTCAAAGGCCTTGACGCGCGCAAGGAGCTTTCGGTTGTTTCTGATGGAGATGAGGACCTGGGTGTGGCTGCGGACGGCGGTCTGGAGGATGGAGAGGGGTCCGGCGCTGAACTCGTGCTCTTCGAGCTGTGCGATCTCGTACTCGGTCAACTCGTTGCGCGACTTGGTGAGAAGCTCCCTGTAGGTTTACGCGTTAGCCTCAATGGAAGAACATCAATGCGGGAATAGGAACGAAAACGCACTGGATCTTGGGATCGGTCGACATGATGGGCGGTAGTCTGGTGAAGATTGTTGTGGGGGATGTTGATGGTGTATGTCGCGACAACGTCTTTGGGTACAGGCCAAGGTACACACACAGCAAGGCTGAAAGAGTTTGGCAGTCTCGCGGCTCACCGTGATGGCGCACAGGTGCTCTGATTGGCCGACAGCTTCAGTGAGGTCGGCGCTGGAAAAAGTGTCCCCGTCCAAAATTTACAGGCGAAGCTGCACTGGAAAGCTTGCACCTCAGCCATGTGCAAGCCCGAGGTCTAGTGGGGTTTTCCTGCGGCGCGCACCACCCTGGTCAGTGCGTAAATGGCAGTCCCCCATTTGCCTTACCCGACAGACCCATGGTTATTCTCGGCCTCGAAATTGACGTGGAGAAGAGCTTTAGAAAACCGTTCCCGCGACATCACCTAAAACGAAGCTCCTTTACCACCACCACCCCTTCCCCCCCTCCCCTCCCGCCCGTCTGCCACAAGCCCACTATCCGTCAGTCGATGCATCGCTTGTCCTAGACGAGCGCATTGGCAGCTGGTAGTAGACAAATGTTCTCGAGGACGATCGCACTTAGAGCCGGGCCGGCAGCGTTAGCTGCTCCTTGCCGGAGCTGCACCAGGAGCTTCGGTATGCCTCTCAAAGCCAAAATTATCGGCGCGGAGGCCTCATCACGCGCACAAGTGAGTCGATACTTCTATGTTGCTGTTGTATTGTTAACGGCGTTGACTAACACCTCCCCCTTCAACAGATGTCGACGCAAATTCCGAAAGGGTTTGAGCAGAAGGCCAAGGATGACCCTGACGATGTCATGTTCACCAGCAGTTACGGTCTGAGGACCATTGAGCTGAACCGCCCGAAGAAACTCAACTCCCTGGACGGAAGCATGATTCGCAAAATTCTGCCGAGATTGGTCGAGTGGGAAAAGTCAGACCTGGCAAACGTGGTGGTTATGAAGGGAGCAGGCGAAAAGGCCTTCTGCGCCGGCGGAGACGTCGCCGCACTGGCAAAGTGGAACAAGTTTGAGGACGGATGGAAGCGGAGCGCAAAATACTTCGAGCTCGAGTACAAGCTGGACCACTACATCGCGACGTATAAGAAGCCCTATGTTGCCTTCATGGACGGTATCACCATGGGCGGCGGTGTTGGTCTGAGTATCCACGCGCCGTTCCGCGTCGCCACCGAGCGCACACTCTTCGCTATGCCTGAGACGACGATTGGTTTCTTCCCCGACGTTGGCGCCTCGTTCTTCCTACCCCGAATGGCCGGCTCCATCGGCACGTACCTCGCCCTGACGAGCGAGAGACTCAAGGGCGCCAACGTCTTCTACTCTGGCGTGGCCACGCACTATCTCCACTCGACCTCTCTGCCACAGGTAGAGGCCCGTCTTGCCGAGATTCGATTCCGCGACCACGACTCACTGGAGAAGCGCCTTCAAATTGTCAACCAAACCCTCGAGGAGTATGCCACTGGTCTCCCCCACGACGAGCCTATTCTTCTTGGCGGTGACCTGCGCAAGGCCATCGACCGATGCTTCAGCCGGAGCAACATCGACGCCATCATCAAGGCCCTCAAGGCTGAGAAGGGCTCGACGAAGCAGTGGGCCGCGAAGACGATCGAGACGCTGCACAAGCGGTCGCCTACGGCCGTCAACGTTGCGCTGAGGCAAATGCGCGTCGGCAGCTCTTGGTCAATCGCTGAAACTTTCAAGCGCGAGCACAAGATTGCAAAGAAGTTCATGCAGCAGGGCGAGTTCACCGAGGGTGTGACTGCGTTGCTGATTGAGAAGAGGGACCCGGTATGGAAGCCTGCTACTCTGGAGGAGATCAAGCCTCAAATGAACATCACGGATCCCTTCTTTGAGGGCAGCGGAGAGGACATTGAGCTGCTGAACAACCGGAGCTACGAGGAGTACCCGTACAAATACTTTGGTCTGCCGACCGAGGCCGATGTACAAAAGTGCGTGCTCCAGGGCCAGCACACACCCGAGGAGGTCATTAAGAAGGTTGTCGACTCGAACAACAACCGACAGGGTGTTGAGGCGGTAGTCAAGGAGATTGTGGGTCGTAAGGTCCTCACAAACGAGGATGGCCGCGCCGTTTGGACCGGGGATAACCAATAGATGATGTTGGGATATGTCACCGGGATGATTCCCAGGTGTGTATGATACTGTAAATGCTTTTGCCATGTATCTGAATAAATTTCACGGACTGTATTGTGATCACTTATCCAATGAATTGCATGGCTGCGTTTTTTTGTAAAACTGGGGATCGTGAAGCAAGATATATTGATCAAATGCTTCATAAGATTGTCGTAGTTGAGCCTGATTGGCCCAATGAGTTTGGCAATTAGGAACGCGGGAACCTTGGTGAGTTGGAACTGACACAGAAAAGTTGGGGTAGAGATGGCTTCATGCTGATAGGCGGGTCTGGCATTGTTGCCTGCACGGCTGTGGTGAATGCCTCGAAAATATCGGAGTTAAGATGCGAACCAACTTTTCCGTCATCCAAGTACGGAGTACCATGTTACATGACAAACCTCTCGACCGGTAAAGATATGGCTGTGGCGGATGGTTTCGATGGCTTCGCTGTAATAGGTTAACGACTACTGGTTGCCGGATGAAAAGGCAGGTGGACATTGAGTCACCGATGCAAACACCACGGTATTAGCGTTGAAAATTGCGGACTAAATGAGGTGGATGGGTCGATAGTTGGAGGGGGGAATGAATGAAAGACCGATCTCTCGGTTGGACGGGCAGAACTTCGACCCTGGTCCGTGAGATTGATTGTACGGACAACCCAGGCGAAAGACGGGAAGAGAGGAAGAGAGAGAGAGAGAAAGAGACCTCAGGCTCAGGCTTCAAACCAGTGGGCAAGTATAAAGAGGGCCCCCGGCCCCCCTTCGCCGTCTTCGGGCAGAGCAGCACGAGCAGCGTGCGTTTCTCCCCTACCATTTCTCATCATCTTTATGTAGGTTCCGGTGCTTGGTCCGCCCTGGTCCTACGTCGCCGGTGTCGAGTCCCGGTTGCAAGCACAAAGTCCGACCAAGAAGAGGCAGTAGCAACCGGCTGGTCAGCAGGAGGTCGAGGCTCCACCCGCACCCGAGAACCTCAGAAAGCGAGGAAAGAGGGACCCACTCACGGCATTCGCACAGCAACCGCCCCCATCCGAAATTCCAGCGGTACGCACGGACCATCTCCGGAATCCCTTTGAGACCTCTCCTCCGCTCCAGTGGATTTGTGGACCACCCAAGTCGTGGACGAAGACGTGCACAGCGTGTTTTTGGCGCGTTCTGGTATCGGTACAAGCTGGGTTCGCGCTAAGAAGTTAAGCGGCCCCTACCCCTGGTCCAACGTCACAGCACCCCCTGCTGGTCTAATCCGCTTCGGGCGACCTGTATTGTGACTTTCTTCATTGCGTACCCGTTGTATCTTCACTACACGCGACAGACTTCACGTCTTTCCTCGTCGTATTATCCCGTCCTTGATCACGATTTACTTTGACCTGCAACCCGCTGGCAAAAGCTTAAGCTTTTCTCACAGAGAATCTGCAGCATTGGATTTCAGAAGCTTTTTTTACTTTTTACAAACAGCACCAAAGCAGCCAGGCGTGCGTTTGTCTCGGAGCCGCCCTCTAGTCGCGCATGGGCTTTAAGTGGTTTGATCCACTTCCCAAAAACGCGACTTACACCAAAGCCGGGCCCAGGACGCGACTTCCTTCACGACCACGGGCATGATACCCGCCCCGCGGTTTCTTACGTGACGCCTGCACTTTACCACTTTAACCACTACAAACACCAATTCGTAACCCACTCTCAACTCTCAATCCCTCCACTTTCTTTTCCTTTTTTCCCACCCTTGGTCACCGCCCTCAACTCTGCCGGCACCACTCGACTTTGTCGGCATTCCCAACTACCAACTCATTCTTTCGTATTCGCCTGTCACCTTGCTTTCGACCTGGACGAACACTCGAGTCGGTGACAGCCTCGCCTATCATGGCATCGCCGATGCCAATAGCGCCCATGGGCAACTGGGGAGGAAATGGCCAAGCAATGCCATCACAACCTCCTGCTGGCCCGTCAGATATGGACGAGGCCGGTGTGCAGGTCAAGACGATGGGCCGTGAGTGCTTCCCGTCTTGATTTTTCTCTGGCGTCTGCCGGATATACTGACTAGATGCAGTCAAGGTCATCTACGCGTTCGCCGACAGTGGCGAGAGCTTCCTGGCGCGACATTCGGAGCTACTCACCGTTCAAACAGTACCAATCGACGAGAAGACTACAGTCGGCATGGTAGACCTCAAGTTGTGTGCCCAGGCCGTTGTGAAGTGCAGCCCTGAGCTACTCAGCGACGCCGCTCGCGACTTTGCTGTGTACGCACACGACTACTCAGAACCCGATGAGCCATTGGTCGGACAGGGCTTCCTAGGATGGATCATCAACAACACAGACGGCAAGAGGATCATTGGTCGCACCACCAGGAATCCTCTCTCGGTTTTTAGCGGAGGCGTGAAGGAGATCTTGGAGATCAAGCTGAAGCTGAAGCCAGTAGCCGCCATGACACAACCGAGGTACGAAGTCGAACCCAGACCGGACGCTCGACACTCGTATCAGCGCTCTGAAAGCCACATGAGCGTCGAGATACAACCCACAAGATCCAACGACGGTGCACTTACGCCGAATAGCCACGCTGAGTGGACCAGCTTCATGCAGTCGAATCAGCAGATGGGCATCCAGCAACAACCCCAAAGGGTTGCATCCCCTCACTACCCGCCCCAGCACCACAACGATTTCCAACATCAACCACAGCCACCACCACAGCAACGACAGCAAATCCAGCGAAGCAATTCTTTTGCCTATAACGGACCCCCGCAACAGCAAATGCAAAATCCGCAACTTCAGCAGACCCTACCCCAACCGCCTATGCAAAATTCTGAAGGGCCTAACCGGGTGGCCCCTACCCTTGTTGACACAGCAACCGAGACTCAAGTGAACCCACCATCGAGACCATCCTCCAGGGCGTCAAACACATCAAAGAAATCAAGGGCTACTGGACGACCTCGTGGCCGCCCCCGGAAGCAGCCGAGGGTTGAGACTCAAGGTAACACATCGGGCTATGAGGATGGAACCGATGGCGACGATGGCCCAGCTAAGAAGAAGAGGGCAACCATGACCCAGGTCACTAGCAACATCAATGCCCCCTTCGGTGGCAGC